ATCAGCAGCATATGCATCATCACCATTATCATCATAACCATCATCATCAGCAGCATCATCATTACTGTCGTCATCATCATCAGCAGCATCATCAGCCTCGTCATCATCCTTATAATCGTCGTCAGCATCATCACCATCAGCAGCATCATCAGCAACAGCATCATGCTCGTTATCCACCTCCTTCTCACCATCATCATCATCATCATCATCATCATCATCATCATCATCTCATCACCATCATCGTCATCATCATCATCACCATAATCATCATCATCAGCATCATCAGCATCATCAGCATCATCAGCATCATCATGAGCATCGGCATCATCATCGTCGTCAGCATCGTTAGCATCAGCAACAGAATCATCATCATCACGCCCGTCAGCATTAGCATCATCATAATCACCATCATCATCAGCTTCATCCTCCTCATAATCATCCTCATCATCACCATCACCACCACCACAATCATCAGCAGCAGCATCAGCATCATCATCATCAGCAGCATCAGCATCACCCTCATCATCATAATCATCCTCATCATCATGATCATCGTCGACGTCGTCATCATCATCAGCAGCATCATTACCAACAATCATCATCATCACAAGAATTAGCGTCATAACAGTCAATGTCAGCATCATCATCATCAGCAGCAGCATCATCATCACCATCATCTGCATCATCATCATCATCATCATCATCATCATCATCATCATCATCACGACCACTATCACTTTCATCATCACCATCACCATAACCACCACCATCACCATCAACAACAAAAATAACACCTGGACTGGCGCCCCGCCCACGACTTCTAATCTGGAGAACACCCGGACTGTCGCCCTGTGACCACCCCACCCACCCACCCACCACACTCCACGCAACGCAACACAACACAACACTCCACAAAAAATAAATCATCCCAGTGCGACCCTACCTAGGAGCTGAAGCCCCTAGCAAAGCAGCATTAGTAGTAACAGTAAAGCTAAGCTAAAGCTAAGCTGAAGCTAAGCCAAGGCCAAGCTAAAGCTAAGCTAAAGCTAAGCCAAGGCTAAGCTAAGGCTAAGCGAAAGCTAAGCTAAAGCTAAGCTAAAGCTAAGCTCAAGCTAAGCTCAAGCTAAGCTAAAGCTAAGCTGAAGCTAAGCTCAAGCTAAGCTAAAGCTAAGCTAAAGCTAGTTAAGCTAAAGCCAAGCTAAAGCTAAGCTAAAGCTAAGCTAAAGCTAAAGCTAAAGCTCCCAGGGGACTGGGGGAACCGCTCCCAGGGGACCGGGGGAACCGCCCGGGGCGGAGCCCACTGCCCGGCCCCTTAAGCCCAGCGAGTAAGAACCCTCTAGGCAGAGCCTAGGTAGGGAAAAATGTACCCCTGTGGGGCCCCACGATACTCCTGCAAGAAATCTCACCAGCCCTCTGGGCGTGAGTGGGTTAGAGCGCTCCCTCTTCCAACCCCCTTCTTTCCCTTTCAGGGAAGGGTTTATCACTGTTCTCTATTAATGGACACCTTTTCCCCCAGGCGACCAGCAGCCTACCAGGAACCATGCCGACCATATGCTCCCCACCCCCCAACCATCCTTCCCACAAAACTACACAAAACGCACTCTGCCTCCAAATTCGGACCCTGCGCAACCAACCCGATGCGGGTCCCCCTCCGCCATCCCTGCCAAAAAGCTTACAAAGTACACTTCGGGGCAAAGCCTTGAGTCATGTTCGTGGGGCCCGCGGGCACTTTATCGTGTTTTTGACTGGAACCGCTGGGGTGTCAGCATATTGCCTGCTGTGCGCAAAGCCACCTTCCCTGACAAAAAACAATTCAAAATGCACATCGCGGCTAAATCTGGATCATGCGCGGCCACCCCGCGATCACTGGTAAATTGTTTTTGACAGAGACGGCGGGGGTGGTGTCGCATGGCCTGCTATGTGCAGGCCCGCCAGACACAATGATGGGCATTGGCTTTCGACAGGGATTGTGGGGGCCGACATGTTTCCCAATGTGTGCTGTCACGTGCGCAGGCGCATCTGACACACTCTGCACGTGCCCCGAACGTGGTACACCTGGCGCGGCTGGAGTATGCGGCACACCTGGCGCACGTGGAGCACGTAGCGCATCTGGCGCACCAGGCGTGCCTGGCACGCTCGGCCCCCAGGGGTGCTTGGCGCGCGTGGCGCGGCTGGCACGCGTGGCGCACCTCGCCACAGCGTCGCGCACATGAGGTCGGTTTGGTTCCCAATAGCTGCCCATCCAAGGAGGTGTTACTTATGTGTTGGGAGGGCGGGTGGTAGTGAGCTAGACGGCTTGCTATCTAGGAGGGTGCCTTGATCCCTCCCCCTACCCTCTCCACCTGCGTCTGGACGGGACATTCCCCGAGGGGGTGAAGCGTCCACGATGGCCTCCGCGAGGAAGCCAAAATCACTGACGTTAACAGGGTTTGGGGCACATGTTGGCCTCCTTGGGGGCACCGCTAAGTTCCTACGGCCATTCCTTTGAACGATCTCGTCCAAGATGGCCCAAAGATGGCCCCCGAGGCTCCCGCTGGCGACAGGGCGGGCG